TAAACAAGATTTACATAATCAAAACTGATTCACAAGATATTCTAATACAAATTACAATGGTTAAAAATTATACTCCAAATATGATAATGCGAATTAAAATAAGTATCACTTTAATGTGGAAACTTGCAATTTTTACTATTCATACTAGTCTATGAAAATACCCCTTGACACAAAAATTACCCTCATGAGTCATGACTACCAAATGGTTTTTTTTCTCAAAAAATGAGTTTGGATAAATCCAAATAAGATAATTTCAATAAAAATAAGTCCAGATACGTTTTAATAAAAATTGACAAGAGTTATTTAACTTCAGTTTAATTAGTTAAGTTGGAATATGTAAAAACCAGTTGATTGAATACAATGCATTTAATTGAAACAAAGTGTATATATTACACATACTGCACCTCCTCATGTGCATACTAAGATTTCCAAGTTTGGTGTAAATGCAATCAAAATCCACCAATTTAATAATTAGTCAAAAGGAATAAGAAATTCAAAAAAAGGGTATATGATGTAAACTGTGATACATAGAACATTCTGTTAATTTGTTTTGGCCCTTTACCAATAAAAGTTGCTCACTTGTCTGTTACTGAAAGGTTTTCAACGTGCTCTACTCTGAACCTACCAATTTTTGCCAGCTTTTTTCTTTTTAATATCTTACACTTCTTATTTTTATTATTGGGTAGATCTTGTTTCTTGGATGGTAAAAATATTCAATGTGTGTTTTTAGTATTTAAGCTGCTTTTCTTGCTCTTTTCTTTACACCAACAATTCTTCTCTCTTTCTCTATTTTTCTCTCAAAAAATCTTAGGTACATACTTTGATCAAATTTCCTTGGGTTTTATGTTTTCATTCATCGTACCATGATATACCCTGTTAGTCCGTATTATGTTGTCACGTTACTAGTTCAAATTAAACTGTTAGCGTGACTATTGTTTCTAAATGAAAGAGGGTGTTGTTATATTTGATTACTAACGCGTTTTTTCATGTGTTGATACAGGATCAAGGAAAATGGTGAATATATGCTGCATTGGAGCAGGGTATGTAGGGGGGCCAACAATGGCAGTGATAGCCCTAAAATGCCCTTCAGTTAAGGTGGTTGTGGTGGATATCGCGGTTTCGAGGATTAATGCTTGGAATAGTGATCAATTGCCTATCTATGAGCCTGGCCTTGATGAAGTGGTCAAGCAATGCAGGGGAAAGAATCTGTTTTTTAGCACTGATGTTGAGAAGCATGTAAGGGAGGCTGATATTGTGTTTGTTTCTGTTAACACCCCTACCAAAACCCGAGGGCTCGGGGCTGGTAAGGCTGCCGACTTGACCTATTGGGAGAGCGCGGCTAGGATGATTGCTGATGTCGCGGTGTCTGATAAGATTGTGGTGGAGAAATCTACTGTTCCGGTGAAGACTGCTGAGGCTATTGAAAAGATCCTAACTCATAATAGTAAAGGTATGTTTTTTTTTTCTTTGTACATTAGTTAAAATGTTGTATTCGTATAATTGTCTATGCCGATTCAAAAAAAATTTAGAATTGTCAAGCCGTGTTAGTTTTACTTAGTTTCAATCATTAAAATTTAATTTTAATTGGTATTACATACGGAATAGTATTTATTATATGTGACAAAAACACTAGTAAATCGATATAAATAGCTTTGATTAATAAAAGTTAGATTTATTCCGGACAAATTAACAATAGTCGGTTTATATGGTTACATTCTAGTTTAGTAAAAAGAATTAAATCAGCTGATTTCAACAATTGTATTAGGTAGTTTTTGTGGTATATTGGGCTACCACTCTACTACAGTAGCATTATTGTCCTATCTCTTTCTGCAAACCTAACCGTACCTTTGGTCCCATGGCATGAACAACATTTAATAAAATACGACATTTGAGGTTGATATGTTTATCGTATTAAATAAATTATACATCACGGAAGAATAAAGCTCGTAGATGTCTTTTAGTTAGTTGGTAAAATTTAGGAGATGATACTTAATATTCGAGATTGATTTACATGTGTTTTAAGATAAGTGGTTGAATTAATATAAATTATATACGTAGTATATACTACCTCCGTTTCATATCATTTGCAACGATTTGACATAAAGTAGAGAAGAAAAATGTCTAATCGTTGCAAACAATATGAAACGGAGGTAGTATATATTTTGATACGAATAATGTAGTCCGAAAATAAAGAGAAGTTAAATTTTGTACTATTAATAATTTAAACTTTGTTTTGCTATCTTGATACTCCTTATGTTAATTTACGCAAATTAGATCATGGACACATGTAAACGGAACCACATGTTGAGTATTGACAATGGATTTATTATGATAAACAGGAATAAAATTCCAGATTCTATCAAACCCAGAATTTTTAGCTGAAGGAACTGCAATCCAAGACTTGTTTAACCCAGACAGAGTTCTCATAGGAGGAAGAGAAACCCCTGGAGGCCAAAAGGCTGTACAAGAACTCAAAAACGTGTACGCGCAATGGGTGCCTGAGGACCGGATCCTAACCACTAATCTGTGGTCAGCCGAGCTGTCTAAGCTCGCGGCTAATGCATTTTTAGCCCAAAGAATTTCATCTGTAAATGCTATGTCCGCCCTGTGTGAGGCCACGGGTGCTAATGTGTCACAAGTCGCCCATGCTGTTGGTAAGGACACAAGAATTGGACCAAAATTTTTGAATGCTAGTGTTGGTTTTGGAGGGTCATGTTTCCAAAAGGATATACTTAACTTAGTGTACATCTGTGAATGTAATGGCTTACATGAGGTCGCGAATTATTGGAAGCAAGTGATTAAGATTAATGATTACCAAAAGAGCCGGTTTGTGAACCGTGTTGTTTCATCTATGTTTAACACTGTGTCTGGCAAAAAGGTTGCAGTACTTGGGTTTGCCTTCAAGAAGGATACAGGGGATACAAGGGAAACCCCTGCTATCGACGTGTGCAAAGGGTTAGTTGGTGACAAGGCGTTGTTGAGCATTTTCGATCCTCAAGTGACTGAGGAGCAAGTTATGAGGGACTTGGCTATGAGGAAGTTTGATTGGGATCATCCTGCTCATCTTCAGCCTATGAGCCCTACCGCGACAAAGGAAGTGTCCGTGTGTTGGGATGCTTATGAGGCTACTAAAGATGCTCATGCTGTTTGTATTTTAACTGAGTGGGAAGAGTTTAAGAGTTTGGACTACAAGAAGATTTTTGATGGTATGAGGAAGCCTGCATTTGTGTTTGATGGTAGGAATGTTGTTGATGTTGATAAGTTGAGGGAGATTGGATTCATCGTCTACTCGATTGGTAAGCCTTTGGATCCATGGCTTAAGGATATGCCTGCTTTGGCATAGCGCCTTTGCTAATTTTGGTTGCAGCATTGGAGGGCTGGCTAAGCTAGCCTAGCTTGGCTAGCTCCTCCAATTAAGTGAAGGAAGATCAGACATTGTTATTCATTTAATTTGTTATCAAGTTGTTATTATTATTTGTCATTTTGGCTTTTGGATTATCATTGAAATCTAATTTACAAACTTTTTTACATAAACCATAGAGATCATGTACTATTCTCTATGCATGTCAAGCATTTGAATGATTATATTTTTCTTATTTGGGCTATATTGTAAGTCAATTGTCCTTTTTTTCACCTTTTGAATTGATATAATGTGATCATCAAGTTATCAAAATTTGAGAAATAACAAGTTCACAATAGACATTCAAATGTTATGAACAAAATAAAAGTCATTCATTCTTCAAAGAAGTGCACATTGTGAACAAAATAAAACTCATAAATGTTAAGAACTTCTTAGGATAAGTCAACCTTAAAAGTCAACCAAATATTTCCGAAGTTATCAATGCATTTATTTAGAGGATCCTTTAGAGGCGAACTCAATTAATCATTATGATTGATAAAATTTGTCAATCTAGTGGCGAATCCAATTAATCTTTGTGATTGATAAATTTTGTCAATCTAGTGGCGAAATTATATTGCAAATAAGTATGTTTTATTTATTTATTTATTTTACTGTTCATAGGTAGACCCGTTACTTGATAGTGTGAAAGGTCTTCTAAGGTCGATTCCAGCCTCTCTTTTGATATTAAGGTGTGTTCACGTTTATTGAACTGAATAGAACAAAACTAAACTGAATATTTTATGTGAGAAGGAAATTAGGAGCTGATCTGAACTAAGCAGAATTGAAATTAAGCTGAAGTGAACATACCTTTACTACCTTACTAGTAGTGAAAGGTTCATTAGAACTATGTTAAAAACATTCATGTAAATGAACTCGTTGATGATTGAAAGCGGAGGGCCCATGTGACAAAAGATGCCATAACAAATCTTTAGTATAATAAAAAATGGACTTATTTACAATATTGTCATAAGATCGACAAATGTCAATCATCAAGATTAACACGTGCTTTAAATGCTCATCTAATGTGTATAATGAATATACTAGTTTTATCCCCGTGCAAATGCACGGATTTATAATAATAAGACTTGAAAATTAAAATAAATAAATTAATTAATAAAATTCAATTAAAATGAAGTTAGTTTAAATGAAATGGCTTATATGCAACATTTTTTATTTTTGAATTTGAATTCATATCATGTCTATCCTTAAAATTCTCATGTTAGATACATTATTTAAAATATTTTATAAATTATTGTAAGCTTTTTTTCATTAAATTTTTTTTATCATGTTATTTTTTAAGGGAAAAAAAGAAATTTTTTTAAAAAAGCTAAAAAATATTTGGGCGGGAAAATTTTTGTTGTGAATGTGACATGTGTACTTAAGGGATAACTCTGGTGATTAATTTAGTATATAGTATAGATAGATAGATGTCTATTGATTTGTTAGAGTTGTAGGAGTTTTATCTAAAATTCAAAATCAACTCTCTTTACATCAATATCGCGTGAGTTTCATTTCAAAAGCCGATTTATAATCATTAAACAATAACCATATACGACTTGTTGACTTGTCATTGCTCGATACATGCACGAACTCGCAACTTGCACGTACGATTTTTCTTTTTTCTATGGAGAATTAACTCTTTAACTCAAGAAATCAAAGCATGACATTAATTAAACTTCAAATATACAAAGTGACAAATCGTCGAATTACATAGGAATAGTCAGTCAACTAACGTATCAATCAACAAGTGATGTTGTACAGTACAATCCAACTTTAGGAGAGAGACTATACACTCCCAAAAGACGCGGTATTTCGCATTATTAAATCATCCCAAAAAAATAAAATAAAAAACCTTTGTTCTTCATCTCCAAAAAACCCCACCATTTTTCAGAAATTCAACGTTCAATTCATTCAAATTTGCTGCAAATTAATCATCATCTGAATTTTTCTATTGATTTTATCATCTGGGTATTTTAAATTTATGCTGCAAGTTTACTCATTTGATTGATTAATGCGATAGAAAAGAGGAAAAGAAGAGAGAGAAAATGGGGTGTGTTTCCAGTAAAACAGCGGATTCTAAAGCTAATAGAGTTGCTCGATGGCGTTCCACTGGCATTGTTGCTCTTCGAGACTCCAAATTGAAGGTCTAATTTTTATATAGATTGAAGAAATTAATTGAAAATTTTCAATTTTTTGATATGGGATGCATGCTTTTCTGGGAATATTTGCTTTGATTATGTTTATGTTACGATTAAATGGATTATGATTATTGTTATTGTTTTATGTTGGTTTATTTGTATTTATGATATTTTGATTGTTCTCTTGTTGGGAGGTATGATTCATGTTGTTTCTGTTTGTTTGTTTGTTTGTTTCAGTTAATAAAATCAGTTAGAGACATAATTAAGAAGCTTAAATTTATGAATTCTGAGGACTTTTATTATTTTTTGTGTTGAATTTGTGGTGCGGAATGTAGAAATGTTGCATATATTAGGTGATTAGACTCTCTTAACTTGAGTGGGTTGTTCCCCTTTTTCTTCTTCTGCTTGAACGCCTTAATCCCATAATCGGGTTGTTCCCCTCGGACTAAGAAATGATGGTTTGGTTCAATTTTGAAACTAATACATTATGATCAACTTCAAGTTGTTGTTACTGAGGAAGTGTTGATTATGGTCAATGAGACCTATGATGGTATGGTATTTGACTATTGTGGAACTATCATAGTTTCATACAAAACTTGGATTCTATGTTTATTGTTTACTAGAGGAGGTAGAATTACTACATAAACTCTACTACACAATTCTGTTCAAATCATTCAAAAAATGATGTCACGTAGACATGTAGTTAAGAGTATGGCATGATATTATATATATACCCTTTATAAGGAGAGTAGTTGTGTTATTTTGATTCTCTCCCATCTTTTAATTGAAGTTAGCGTTCATTGTGATATTAAATGTAATTATTACTATTTTAGGAAATTAACTACTTTTTTCGAACCTCTTAAAATAGTTTATGTGGGTAATGTGACTATTGATTCTTGGCTAAGGTTGTATGTTGAGAATGGGAGGTAGCATAAGCACTCAGAATGTGGAGCAAGTTGGAAACATTTGGATGTCTCCTTATTGAGTACTTATTTTGTCAATTGTTCACATCAATTAGCTATATTACGCCTTTCAAATTTGGTACTTCTATTTCTTTCTAAATAATTGCAGTGAAAGTTTGGTGAATAGTGTAACAATTTTGCAGCAAGGTTCATTTTGTTCAACTTGATTTGTAATTGCGAATACTACTGATTACTAAGCAGATGAAGAATAGTCGACCAAAAAAGAGAATATTTTTCGGCATGTATATTAGAGGTTCTGAAAGGTTGTATATAGTATGTTGTCCAAGTATTATTTAAGTCCAATCATTGTATTTTAGTGTCAAATGGAGTGTTAAACGTTGAATAAGCTGGAGAAGGTTACTTGCGTTTGGATAAATAAGTTGTGTGTCTTTTCTCCCTGGGTCCAGCAACAGAAAACTGAATCATGTTCTTTTGTAGGTTATCAGAATATGTAACTACACATAGAGTATTATGTGCTGAGAATTTGTTGTAAGACTTATGCCTATATCTGGCCGCAGCTGAACGTGTTAAGTGCTGAAGTCTTAGGTTTAGTACTTTCTGTTTGGGGTATTATGTGCCTTTTTAATATTTGTGCTTGACCCGAAGTAAATCAATTTGTTTTGATTTATATAAATGTTTTCCTGCTTGTATTACTGACATGTATAATTATGACTTAGGAAATTTATTATTGTTGCTGATATATAAGGCCAATTTGAATGCTTTAGGGTTTATAGGGTAGGGTTTTGCAAGAGGCTTTATTCTCTTGTACTCTATTGGCTATTGGGAATATTTGACCCTTCTCGGCCATGCATTTCTCCCTACACTTTATATTTTATATTTAATCACTTCTCTTTGCCTTGTTATCAGTTGAATATAGGCAATTTATTATGTGTGTGGGCATGATCATGGGCTCAAGTGTTGTTTTATTTTGAAATATACTTACACTTGTATTCTTTTGCATTTTCTGCATTTATGAAATATGGTTTTGAATTCTTATTTAGATTCTCAGAGTGCAGCTCTTTACTTATCTATATAGGCTTTGCTTATATTCAATATCTAATGAGCATTATTTCCATGAACAGGCATTTCCTGATGAAGTTCTTACCCTTGACAGAGCTGTACGCACAGTGGACTTAACACACAACAAAATAGGTACACTATATAATTGGGAATTTTTGTATGTTGCCAATAATAGTAGTTGCATTAGAGAGTGTTTTTAAGTTCACTAAAGAATTTAAGATTATTGAGTTGTACATTTTGATGGAAACAATATAACACTCTAGAGTTTGTGTGATAATATTCTCTTCCAAGGTTTTAATATGTCGTTTACTTGTCAGAGTTGTCACATTGCTTATCTGCATGCTATTCAATGAGTGAGAAAAGTTAGTGAGAAATTAGTGGGTTGGTGAGCATGGAACCCAACTGTAGAGTAAAAAGTTGATAGGAAGAGCTTACAATAAAGGATATGGGGAAGTCATTTGGGACATCCCAAAAGGGGAGATGTGTCTTGTTACTTGTGCTGAAGGGAGTATGAGACATTTACTTGCCAGATAGCATAAAAATTGACTGTTAGATAAGTCATAAGGCTGATGTCTAGTTGAAGTGGTTTTGTCTAAATTGTTTTTTAGGAGTGTCCAGACGATTGCATCATGTTTGTTATCGCATGGATGTTATTATTTGTTTTTGAACTGCTTTAACTTGGTAAGGTCTTCTATGTTACCTCATTTTCATGCCTTGTGCTTTTGAACTCTGTTTCTAACAGTTGAACCTTCTCCTTTCTTGTATGCTTTTTACAGTTGATGTTCCAGTAGAAATCAACAAATTGATCAACATGCAGCGCCTGGTAAGAGAAAAGTATTTTTCTTTGTAAACCTGAGTTATGCTTTATACTTGCTTTTCGAGGGCTGCTCAAAATATCACATCACAACCTTATTCTTCTATTACCTATGTGGATGCGTGATTCTGACTGAGGGGCAGTGCTTTGTATATATTGTAATGCTGATTTTATAAAAATAGTATACATTTATTTCAATTAACATATGACTCTCTTCTCAGATTTTGGCAGAAAATCTTATTGAATGTCTTCCAATGAACCTGGGGAAACTTCAGTCTCTAAAAGTAATGACACTTGACGGGAATCGACTTTCTGGCTTGCCTGATGAATGTAATCTACCTCTCTCTAACATTCTAAGTGTTATCTTCTCATTTCTTGTGAAATCATGGTGATTGTCTCTGACAAAATCTGTCTTGTTAGTGGGTCAACTGGTACGGCTTGAGCAGTTGTCAGTATCTCGGAATGTGTTGACATACTTACCAGAGACTTTAGGGAGTCTTAGGAATGTAAGTTACTAATCTAATGTGGTTTTTCATACTCTTTGTCCCACCATCTCCTCACCTATATATTCTGAACTGTGCCAAAACACTGTCCTATGTATATTTTTAAATTTTAGTTATCCAATCAACATACTTAATTCTTGGTGTAGTAACATACATGGTACTTGTTAACTTGTCCTTATTAAATGCACTCCTCGATACAAGCAAAAGTAAAAAGCTAAAATTAATAAACTTAGTCTGATGAATGAAGTATTTGACCTAAGTTCAAGTCTTGTAATAATCCAACTTGCAAAATATTAAAAGTCAAGCAAAAATAGAGAAATTTACACTGTTTGGTTTGCTACCCAAAAATAAAATAAAAGGTACTCAGCAAATTGTTTGATCTTTTCACCGTTTTATTTTACTACTTATCTTTTGTATGACTTGTGATTTTGTGATGCAGTTGAAGCTCTTAAATGCATCAAACAACCAGTTAAAATATCTTCCTGAATCAATTGGGAGTTGCTTTTCACTCGAGGAGCTTCAAGCAAATGGTATCCATTATCTCGTTTTTTTTTTTACTTTAAATGCACAATTTATGATAATGTGTCAAAGTACAGACCTTCAATGTCTATGGATTCTTATGATGCAGTGAAGTGTTAAGTTCTAAATTTGATGTTTATTGTTATACTTTACTGGTCTTATCCTCATACACAGTATTGTTAGATGTGCTACTCGTATTATATTTCGTATAATTCTTTGTATTCATAATCTGCTAGAATGTAGCCGAGTTTATTGGTTTCTTGTTTCAGAGTATTCTTTTCATGTTTACTAGAACAAGATGAGTATAAAGCATTTAATTTTTTTTGGTAAGCTATTCTTGCTCTTCATGGATGCACTGCAGTTCTTGAAGTCTCTTCTTGGAGGTCGCTTACAACTTTTAGTTTGAGACAGATATAGTAAAGAGGGTAGTCTACGCTGTAAATAACAATGATCTTTTTTGGGAATTTGTAGTTGAATTGGTTGTCCTATTTTAGCTATATACATAGTGATTGTAGTTCAATATTATGTCTTATGGTTATCTGACTTTTATTCTTTCTGTGGTGCTATAAGTATGGATTATTTGACGAGTTTGTTTATTGTGTTTCCTACATGTTATTTCAACATTGATGGACAACATATGATGATTAATGCCATTGACTCTTACTGCTGTCAAAGCCTTGTTCTTTTCTTCTTCCTTTGGCCTCTTTTTTATTTTAGCCTATAGTGTATACAATTGTAAGTTAAAGATTCGTGCTTTTACTTGTAGATAATTCCATTGACGATCTTCCTCCTTCAATATGTAATCTCGTTCACCTGAAATCACTTTCTCTGAACAACAACAATGTGAAAGAGGTAAATGTTTCTGTTGCTTATTAGGCTAGTATTCCTTATCGCTCTTTGGCTGAACACTGTCCTTTTGAGTTTTGTACTTCTGTTACTCTTATGTTATTAGATAACTTTGTTCTTTATGATGTAAATTTGTTTGTTGTATTTGTGCATTAGCGATCTATCAAAGCCTTGAGAAACTAGTGTTTCATTTCTGAACCTGTGTTGGAACTGAACTAAGATTTTGAGTGGGTAATTTGCATTGCTAACTTCTGACCTGTTTGAAACCAACCAAGTCCAGATTGATCTTGGCTATGGTGCTAGATACCCATACTTTTTGCTCCCTCCTATTGTGAGCAAATCAACACATTTCATGCCGTCTGAGCTACAATAATTTGGCTTCTGGGAAATTGCTCCTAGTTAAGAGTGTGAGAAGGGTCACTTGCTATGCCTATTGACTACCTTGTCATCCTATTTGAAATGACTACCCCAAAGTTAACCGTTTTGACGGTGGCTAATTTGTTAAAGTTAGCTTAGGTATTAAGTGATCAGCAGTTGGACAATTGTTTTCTTCTGGGTATGCATTAACCAGTGTGGAGCTGTGGACTCTTTTAGGTTGTGGTTAAATACAATACTAATCTTAGTTTTGACATACGCTGCCTTTATTGCTAATTATAAACAGTTTATATATTTACTAAGAGTATTATAAGAATTTATGACAAATTATTCACACGTCAATCGTGTTATTGATGTTTCTTTGATGATTAATGTTTCTACTTTTAGCTCTTATAGTTATCCATTAAGTTTGTGTATACGAGAATCATTTTCTTGATAATTTCAGTCAGAATTATATATGTGGGTTAGTGATTTGTCCTCTTGGAAACCGTTATCAGATTTTAGTCGTGAAGCTTTTCATCTGTTTTCCTTAGATGCCTGCAACTATACTCAGAGACTGCAAAATCCTGCAAAGTATATCCTTGCATAATAATCCCATTTCCATGGATCAGTTCCAACAGGCATGTCACTTACTCACTATTCTGCAAAGTTCAAACTGTTAATTTGTCTTTTCTGTAACATAGTCTAGTGGATTCTACATCCAAGCTATGTCAATTTTTCCAAATTTTTCTTAATTTTTTATTTTCCCTTGTATTTATTGATGGTGCACATTAATTAGATGGAAGGTTACCAAGAATTTGAACAACGACGGAGAAAGAAGTTTGACAAACAAATAGATTCGAATGTGATGATAAATTCAAAGGGTCTAGATCAGGGTGTTGATTCGTGATTCTGTGTATCCTACACCAATTTTGATGAAATATCTTGGTAAGCTTTATTGTTTACGCATAAGTTGAATTACTAGCTGCACTTTTCTTTCTGATCTTAAGAATGGCTTGAATTATCTCTTATCTGTAGCACGATAACAATAATATTATTTTATTTTAATCGACTGTCTTGCAGTTGACTTCTGTTACTAAGAGTTGCTTTATGATGATCCTAACTTCTAGAAGCACGAGTTAGTGTGCTAGCTGCAAAATTCAAAATTTTATACGTAAAGTTATTCCATGGAAGGTAGAGGGATTCTGTGCTTTTGGTGTGATACTGCCTATTTAGTTAGTTAGCTAACGAGGGAAAAGCCCTGAAATTCCTTTAATGGGTAAAATTTAGTTAGACTAGTATATGCATTATTGACATCTCGCCCCATGTTGTCAACTAATAGGCTTGAATCTATGCTCACTATAGATTAAAATGAATATACACTTTAAATGTGCGATTAGGCTTTTGGTTCTTGAGCGTTTAGTCATGCCTCTAGTGTCTCATCTTTTCCTGACTATGCAATATTTTCTGTTCAAGGTTGTCAAACAAATTTAAGCTGTGAACATCTGAGGCAGAGATAACTGCTCAGATTGTGTTTCTCCAGCTGAATCTATCCAGTCGTGTTCAGTCATCTTGCTGCTCATTTAACTTCAGTCAAAATGGTGAAATGGCCTCTGTATATGATAATTTTTTTTCGGGTAATTTGTTATCTGGTCTCCCGAAGCTGGAAGCTTTATATTGTGCAGGTGTGTATATAGAGAAAGAGTTCCCTTGCAAATTGCTACATTGAACTTGCAACCACAGGAAGTTTGATATACTGAGTTTACGAATTGCTTGTTTTTTTAAGTGTTTATATAAGTTATATTGGCCTTCTTTGCATCTATGACAGCATCTTTCAAGTATACTGTGTACTTTCATTGGCCGTGTGTGGCAATTAGCATTAAAGTGCTTGTATTTGTCGGCTTGACTAGCTATTTGTAAACGCTACTAACCAGCATTTTCGAGTTAGAGTTTGGAACAGATTACAAACTTAACAATTAGCGGATTGCAGACTTGCTGAGGTTAACCTCAATAAGTGCTCTAATCCGCTAAAAGCTCTTCAATTTGCTGTTAACCAACCAACCAAACTGTGTATTGTTTATTGTGAGCAGGAACTTTGAGACATCGAGCAAATTATTAGCACTATTAACTTAATCAATGAAGACAAAGATGATAAGTACTTTGCAATTAACACTTCTTCTAAAGATTAACTGCTAACTTTAATTACTCCACAAAAAGGAATACTAATTGGCAAATCACTATCCACTTGTCGCTCAATGTGATACGGTTGTTTTAAGTCTTTTAACCAGCTATGATCTACACTTTACATGTGCAGTGTGCACAGAGCGCATCCACCTCAATGCACACCCGAGTGCATAATAGAGTTTCTCGTAATTTCAGAGTATTTTCATTATTTGAATAATTTTTAATTGGTTAATGCGTGTTACTAATCAAAGTGTTTTATATGTGATACGTGAATTAATATTCAATTTTCAAAAGGGAAATTTTTTTGTGACTTAGGATAGATTGATATAGCTTTATCGTGTACTATATACTCGTTATGTACGAGACTTACTCATAAAACAATTAAGAATATAGGTTGATTGGCGGTGACTTCTTAGCAAACTCTTTTACTATCTTGATAATTTAAAATTCAAAAGAAAAGATATTATTCTAGGAATGTAATCTAAGAAGAATGGAGCCGAATTTGACGTCACATACCAAATTGTAGGTGTATTGGTTTTTTCACAGAAACTTCATGTTCTCTATTAACCATTTAACAAAGTACTGACTTCTCAAGTGCATTTATCAAACCCATCAACGACCAATCTTTTCTACATTTTCGGCATTTTTTTGGACAAGAACCAAAGTTGTTGGATCTCCAACTTCAATCCCTTTTTGACCACTAAGATCTAAACTTCTCAACTTAACCTATAATTATGCCTAACCATTCGACTAATTATCTATATTTGCCTAATTGTTCCGGCATCTTTATGTAACTTCTTCCCTATTTTTCTACTAACTTGAATCATAGATAGTTTCGAATCTAACAACTTGTTTGACAACAATTTTTTCAGTTAGACCGCATTTGAACATGTGAAATAGTGTTTAGTAGCAACTAGTCTTATCGATCAGTTTTTTGTTATGTACAACAGCTAACAGCTACTATAACACCTAATAACAACTACTTTTGCCGAACAAGGTCTAATGGGATACACTTTTCCAATGACTTTGCCAACTAAATGAGCACATATTTCCTTATGTTCACATAAAGTAGCTAAGTTTTCGAATCATAATGTCTATACTTTGAAACTTAGTCCTTACTCCCCTTTATCAAGCCATTAAAGGGTGTTTTTATTTTATTTTTTTACATAAAAATACAAAAGAAACTAGCATAAATAACGCCATAAATAAATACTGAAAGTAACTACCACCGTCCACAAGCAACTAAACAAGTAGAGCAAGTGAAGCAACCACTTTGCCTACAAATGCCATAAAACTTTGGTTAAAAAATCTACCATTTGCTAATCCTTGAAACATTGACATAATTAAACTATACACTAATATGAAATGCTAATTGTAACAAGTAATTACTAGTACTAAATTTGAAGCAAAGAGTAGTTAATCTCGGCCCAACTCGAAACTAATCCTTAAAGATTAAACCCTAAGCTTCATTCTCACCCAACCTAGTACAAATAGTAATTAGTAATGTAACTTAGATGAGGAGAGTAATCAATTAATAATGATGAGTTACTTACTTAAGTTTGATTTATTAGGTGTTAGCTTGTCAACCTCATTAGTAAGTAATTAGAGCTCATAATTAAAAAAAAATGGTGGTCCTAATAATAATAAAAAGTAGAAATAATGTTTCCAATGAGCTTGGTGATTACTAAGAAAACACCTAGCACAAGTTGCATGCTATCTAAAAGTATAATAAGAGAGCAAAGGAGAGAAGTGAGATGGGTTGTCATGTATAAGGTAGGTGATGACTACACAACCACCCCTATGCTCACATGCTATCTTTGTGTACACTACTTAACTATTTCAATTTATTTGCTTTACTTCTCTTTTTCTACTTCCTCTACTACTATTACTATTACTACTACTTTTTTTTTTTTTTTTTTTTTTTTTGTTAGTTAGTTCTTTCTTTTTAATACACTACAACTTTCAACACCACACTTATTTATCTTCCATAGCAAGGAAGTATTATTATTACCACACCATGAATCGATTATGTACTCGTTACCTTTTATAGCTTGTTGAATCTCCAAGTCTGTACAGATATACCTGTTGTAACCTGTTCTTTTCAGCTTAATTTCAGTTCAGTTCAGTTCCTAATTTTTAGGCGAGATTACTGTCTCTTATCAGTATATCACATGATACTATAGTGTAGACTGCTCTTGATAATAGTACAAATCAACTTTGATGTAAGATTTTAAAAGTTAGTATATAGCAATTGGAGTATTGTTATGTAGTATGACATTCACAAGTTAGATGATATTATCATTAATGCAATTCACCTTTTGTCTCTTTTCACTTGATCAACAAAGTACACAAGGTCTATATTGATTGTAAGAAAAGAAATGAAAAAAAAAAGAGTGCAACACTTGGCCAATTTTGAATTTCTTTAATACAAACTCGAATAATGAATGAATCGATGGCGAAAGTATGCCATAAATCTGTACACTCTTGAATAATTGAAATCCTTAAACATTATACTATAAACTATATGAATCATAATAATAAATCAATTTGAGATTAATCCCAATAAAGACTCGTGCTTTTGAGAGCTTTCAACACACCAATATGGCTTGATGAACCCAACTAGTGAAGTACTACTGCTAGTAGTAGTAGTAACGGTAGTAGTCGTGGTCGTTGTCGTAGTCATAGTCGTTTCGTCGTGTGCTGGTGCAGGAGGAAAATTAAGATCAAGCAAATCTCTAGTACTTTCCATGCTTGATAATCTTTCAACCACATCATCAATTCTACTAGTTTGATGAATGTGATTATTGATTTTCGCCTCAGTAATTTTGCTATTAGTATCACCATTAGATGTTACTAGTAAATGTGACCTTTTGTGCCCTCCTAGTGCTTGTCCTGATGGAAAAACTCGATAACATATCGGACACTCATGTTTATTCACAACTTTCTTAGACGGCGATGATCCAATAATAGCCCCAACCTCGGGAACTAGCTCGTGTTGTTGTTGGGGTTGGGATTGGGGTTGCTGCCTAGGATCAGGAGATAAAACGATGTCGTTGCCACCGATGTCGGTCTCAGGCCCGAGCTTTGGAAAGGGAGGAGAACATTTACCTCCTACACCATGCTTCTTGTGACTAGCTTTATGACCCCCTAAAGCTTGATAAGAGTGGAATACTTTGTTACAAGTAGTACACTCAAATTTGCTCCTTTTACTCATACTGCTGTAAAATTCTGAATCAAATATTTCATGATCACTGCTTTTTTGGTCATATGAAGAAATCCCATGTTCAGAAACCTCAAATTCCACGATTTTTGACGATTTTTTGACAAACCCAGAAGCTGATGATTGAGCATTAATCTTTCTCTTACTCTCAGAAGATTGCTTGTTTTGATCATTTGACATAAACCCATTTTCCAAAACATCATATTCCTTCATTTTTACACTATCTTTAACAAACCCAGAAGCTAAAGATTCCATCTTTATACTTTTACCAACATGATCAATCTTTTCTCTCTTCTTCTTACTCTCAGAAAACTTGCTGTTTTGATCATTTGATCCAAACCCAGTAATATTAACTTCAATTTCCTTCAATTTCAGCCCTTTTTGCTGATACCCAGAAACTGCAGATTCAGAATTTTTGTCAGCAGAAACAGAGACATTCCCCTGAACTTTCTCTCTTCTTCTCCTTCTATTCTTGCTGTTACTCCCCTGATCAGCAGCAGCAGTCGCAGCCGCGGCGAAAGAGGAAGAAACATCACCCCAAGATCCTACATCTCTAGACAACATGATCAAACACATTGCAACAACAACCTCTTCTTGTTCTTCTTGCTCTGCTTCAACCACCTCAGAAACAGAAGACTGAGAATTATTTCTTCCAAAACTTGATCTTTTCCCCTGATTCTGACTACTAATCTTGCTTGATTTCGGGTTTCCAGTCTCGTTCGAAGAAGAAGAAAAGGAAGAATTCATAGTGTGATCCTCATGATCAGCTGCTGCTACTGATCTCCATGTTTTCTTTGGATTCTCTCTAAGTTCATACCCTGGTTTTGGTAAATGAGACCTTATATGACCTCCTAATGATCTTCCACAAGGAAAACTCTTCTTACAAAACTTGCAAATATGCTTATTTTTTTGCTCTTCCATTACAAAAACTAACAAAAAAGTGAAATTTAGAAGTTTTTTTGTGAAAAAACAGAGGAAAGTTTGAATCTTTGATGAAATTTGAGTTTAAAAATGATGGGTTTTTTATTTAGTTGGAGTTAGGAGAAGGAGGTGAAAGTAGGAGAGGGAAGTTGCTGTTTTTGAGCAAGTTTAAGATCTGAACTACTGATGCAAAAAAAGAGGAGCTTTTTTTTTTTTTTTTTTGTTTTGAGTAGAAATATTTACACATAATTTTTCCCCATTTTTTTTTAAAAAAAATTCTCTCTCTAGATTATGAACTTTCTCTCACTAATTAGCTATTGGGTAGTTGAAAATTGAGGAAACAAATCAAAAATTGAAAGAGCAAAAAAAAAAAAGGGTAGTTTTAGTTTTTACTTTATTGTGTGGTTTTAGTTGCTGAGCAAGAATTTCTACTCTTCATATATATGTTTTTTCTCTCTAAAAATTAAGCTAGTTTATAGCTCTACTAGTACTAAATAAGTAGTACTAAATTTGGTGGGGGGAGAAATCCATGCATGGAAGCAAAGATAAAAAGAGAAAAGCGGGAAGGAGTGTTATGGAAGCTGCACGTGTCTCTTCTCACCATCTTTCGCCATTTTTCTTAAGTGTATATGATCCAAAAGTTTGGGAACGGATCGTAAAACGGATCCGATCCGTTCCCGTTTTATATAATGGATATGATTTACTTATATCAAATTGGAAAAATAATTATATATTTGACTTATTTTTACTAGCTCATATGTTGTAATTGTATGTCAGGATTTGGGTTAAGACGAAAAAGATTTTAAAGCGAGTTGAGTAATTGAGTATAGTTGAGACTTTAGAGTGTATGTGGATTGATCCTATGTGGTTGGGGAACCTAGCTAAGCTAGCTACTCAAAACTAACGGCTATACTATTTTTTTACACTTTGATTTGCAACTAAGCAAGCTTACTATTTAACTATTTTTTTGGCATTTATTGTACCAATTAAGAAAAGGGAAAAAAAATTAAGAAAAACATTATCATTTCATCATTTACATTTATTTCTTATTTAGAATATCAAGAAGTTGTATTTTAATTTAATTTCATACTTACTTTATTTGGACTTGGTTGAGTGGTCAAGAGATTTATAGGTGTCAGCCAATTAATTTTGTGTTTGTTACCATGACATTCACAAGTTTTGCATTTTTTTTTTATCATTAGGACCTATTCTCTTCAACTAATTTTTAGTTTAATTTCAATCAGTTTAGTTTAGTTCAGTTCAGTTTTTAATTTTCTTTTCTCATAAAATATTCAGTTCAGTTCAGTTCAGCTCTACCCAATTCAATTCAGTTCAGCTCCACTCAGTTCAGTTCACTTCAGCTCAGTTCAGTAAATGAGAACAAACCCTTAGTATATAGTAGCCCTTCGATGTAGGTGATTTAGTGATGGATTTTCTTTTTTTTATAAGGAATTATTATTGATTTTAAATAATTATTGTATCTCGGTTCATTTATATTTCTAAGTAATAATTTTCCCTACACATGAGTATCATATACTCAATCACTTATAATATTACTCCATGATCGGTTCATATGTAAAATATTATTCTACTTTAGTATTTAGCATAATTAATTATGTAAAATTAATAATTATAAGTATGTATGCATGGCCTTGAATCTTTAATCAAGATATTTCAAATGTAACAATCTTTTAGGAATGGAAGAAGTACAAACATAAACATACGGTCATTTAGGAACGGGAGAAGTATAAACATAAACACACGGTCATTACTCATTAGTCAAGTCGGCAAAAAGAAAATTAATACGAATATAAACATGCTATCAAGTATATTGGAATAAATTGAAGTGTGGAATACTTTTAAGAGGAATTAGTCACTCGTAATTATATGAAGTTAATGGTATTGGTTGGAATATTGAAAGTTGTAATTCTAGTTTGATCTATCTTATCTAATTAAATTGGTGAGTATCTGTCCCAAACTCCCTATAGTAGCCTTAAAAGTGTGGCTTAAAATCACCCTAACCTCTTTGCTCAACGTGTTTGTTTAACAACAAATATGAAATACGGATCTAAATAAGAATAGTTTGGTTTCAAAATTCAACACCTTCTTAAGTAGCTAGTGAGTTTCCAACATCCAATTAAAAGATAAATGGGATTAGATCCTCTACAAAAATAGTTATCTTATAACCGATTCTTATTGACCTTGCGGATAGCTCAACTTGATTGTTTCAACGAACACATGAACAGTTAATTACTTTCTGACAATACACATAAGGGCTTGTTCTCATTGACTGAACTCAGCTGAACTGAACTGAACTGAAATGAGCTAAATTGAACTGAAATGAGCTAAACTGAACTGAACTGAATATTTTATAAGAGAAGGAAATTAGGAACTGAACTGAACTGAACTGAGTTGCACTGAACTGAACTGAACTTAACTGAACAACGTAAGATAACAGACCCTAAGGTTGTATATATCGGAATCTTCCTAAACTCTAAACTTGAAGGAATGTATACGCGGATTTAGAGAAATTAAATAAGCTTCTTAACTTGCAATAAAATAATTAAGGTAGCTCAAACTCTTGCTAAACACTTATTCTTGTTATCTTTAGTTCTTTACAAAGATAATGGTTAACGGATATAGCCTCTTCAAAATTGAATCTCTTGTACTATATAGGACACAAGTTTATTGGATGATTGATTTCAATTCATTAATTAAGTAAAATCTTTCATAAATGTTTGTATAGTATTTACATTCTGTAACTTCAAGGCAATGATCCATTTAATTACCATCAAAATCTTGTCACACTCGAATTCATGAAATCGTCAAATGGAACTTAAACACTTTTTATAGAGCGCGTTTATGCAACAGCATAGTTCAATTCACTCCCTATATATAGTAGAAGGTCATCACCTCATATCATAAGCACGAATCAAGTTACTCTATCTACAACAGAGATATAGTCACCAATTAACCGGTCTCCTTATATTGTAACCCGTTTATATACAACTTACTCTAGTACGACATAGTACATTATCTAATGATATTTATTTATTCAATTAAAAGATCATTGATAGTTGCTTGCTTGTTGTGAAGTGAATCTGATGATTACCATCTTCTAAACAGAAAAAATCAAGTAGAGAGTTACAATATGATATGAGTATACAAGCTGTCTAATAGTTAAGAGGTTTAATAAGATACTTTAAGAAATAGAAATAGACATGAACACATGCATGTTAGCTCATTTTCACTGTACTAACTTGTCACCCTTGTCCACCAACCTTACTTAGCCAAAGCTGCTGCCCTCTCTCTATACTCTGGTCCACTGCCTTTGTCAAACTTTTTTCAGCTGCTTCAACCAATTTATACTACTTAGCATCATTATACTGTTATATGCCTTTATTTTAACTATATATAATATGAAGCAACATGCATCATACATGCTCCCTCGGTTTTAGAAGTTCAATTTCCTTACCTTTGTATGGTCTTTTACATGCGACTTTGACCATTAATGTCTTCTATTATATACATAAGTGAATATAATACACTAATACTTCATATAAAGCTAATATTTTAAAAATATACATACGTGGAGACAAATCTAAGAAGCTCAATGTCACAAGCTAATATCTTTCTTTTAATTCCATAAAATACGGTCAAATTTATATTGTTTTGACCATATGAATAGTTGAGTCAAACTTTCAGGAACAGATGTATAGAGTAATAATGTTATATACTTAGGAAGTGTTGATCCTTTCGCCTAGTTTTTACTTCAATGATAATAGGGTTATACCGAGGATACAAAAGCAACCATGTACGTGTTATTAGAGCTCTCTAATTGGATAGAGCATAAGTTTATTATTTACATAGTATCACAGATTGTAAAAGGAGCCTCTATTTATTATTTATCACAAATAAAACCTTTTTTTAAATCTGGATAAAGGGTGATAATTATTCAAATGAATTGTTTCACCCTTTTTTTTCCTACGTTTTCAAAAACTAATTAATTCAGATTATTTAATTGGTAATTTTTAACGAAAGTTTATAATTTAAAATATAAAATATTTTAATATTAATGATGTTTTTCAAAATATATATATATATATATATATATATATATTTTTTTTTTTTTTATATATATATATATATATATATACTTCGTATAATTTATATATATTCGTCTGTACCACCAACAACACCAAATACTACTCATAATTTCTATATAATAATAACAATAATAATATTAGGAGCTTTTTTTATTTTGTAAATTGAAAGGACGCTAAAAAGAAATGTGACATTTTTCGTGTTCTAAATTGGTAACCACTTACCAACCATACATTGTCCCTCCTACATTAACAAAATTAAGTTGAGTTACTTCAAACATTTGGGATGAGTATGTGTACAATATATTGTCCATAACGAAAATGACCTCACGTAAGCATCTAACACTTACTAGAACTTTACTTTATGGTTATATATATATATGATGTCTAAACGTAATTATTAATTATGAATATATCCCTACATAACATCCTCTAAGATGTTGAAAGGGTATGATATGATGGAACACTATAATCTCGATCTAAGCTTGGTTCAAATCTTACCAAGTCGAGTCGAGCATAGCATATTCACTACTTCACCAAAAAACAGAAAATATTCTATGTATATTTTCAATCACTGGTTGATAAATGTATTAATTAATTGACTATTGCTACAACGACTGATGTGTGCTAAAAAATTTAGCCGTCGGCAACTTAGTAGGACGGTTGAGTTGTAATTTGTCAACCACTAAATATTTTCCCATCCAATTTTGTTGTTACTTTTGAGTATTGATGCAAAGGAGGGAACAGCAAGAACCATCAAGGTGCCCTTCAAAAATTTAATTGAATGAATTAATAAATTAAAGATAGCATCAAGGTGATTAGAGAGAAGAACATGTTACATGTAATTGGTGTTAAAGCCAACATGTTCTCTAAATTACATGTGCAATTGTGCATTCATGTCTAAGCTAGCTTAATGGCCGGTGTGACTGATTATCCAAATTTTAAGTTATAAGTAGTAAATTAATTTAGTGGATTCTATATGTGTGACTAATTAATACGTATAGTATATAACAAGTTTGTTAAATTAATCATTTCATTAGATTCTTACCATATTATTTTAACACCCTCATCATTGATTGTACTATGAATTGGTAATTAGATTCCTCCATTGTTTTATATTGGCTATGACATTAAGTTATTTTCTAGAACGAAATGAGTATCTTTTTCCGTTCATACTAATGTTAGCTATTAGTATAGTGTTTCAAAAAGATATTCTTGTTGTGAATTCACGATAAAATCATGCTTTAATCAATGTAATCAATTCTTGATATTACCCATTTTAACTTTTTAAGATCACTCTATGGCCACATATTTGTCACTTGTTATATATTATTCCGTTTAATTTTACTTTCATATTAAAATCATCAAGTGAGATTTGGTTAGTCGATCATGCCTTTTAGTAGCGAGGAAAGATGGAATTAAAAGTAGTCTTCGCCTCTAAAATACATATACATGCTACTCCAATCTGTAATCGTCTTTACTAAACATAGTAGCAAGTAGCTATTAGCTAGTATCTTTCACATTCCTATTTCATACTGCATGTATCATTTGCACA